TGTCAACACAATGACATTGACCCGGAGGCTGTTGAACCGACCGCTACAGGTTTTTTGGCAATATATACGTGTAACACGATACATGGATTTCAACCTCTTTGTCATCTGACAATGTACGTTGACAGGAGGCTTCATAACATGATGGTATCTTGACACGAGTAAAAACTTTTTGACAGCTGTGCTTCTTTTTTTTTTACTGTCAACATTCTTGTCAAAATATTTCAATACTGTTGTCATAGATCTTTTATATTCTAGAATTATTATCAGATATCAGTAATATATGACTATCTTAACTTTATAACTAACAAATTGTGACACGCGGTTCAGTACGCGCGGCCTAAAAAAAAAACAAAATTAGTAGCCTAAGTGTTCTTCCAGACTATGTTCTACATCTGTGCCGAATTTCAGAGAGATCGATGCTGCCAAACCTTCGCATTTATAATAAAAAGATGATTGTATTTTAATTAGCATTTATCATATAGCAGAGAATCCGAATATAACTTGAGTCAAGGGAGTATTCTAATGTTAACGACGTGTCAAATCAAAAGCCGAATAAGTTGAAAAACAATAGTCAGTATCTAACTGTAAACTTAGTACAAACATACAAACGGTTGTGCTGAATGTTTAGTTATCTTTGTCAACTATCATTTAGCATTGCTATGATAAACGTTGTACTGCATTGTAAGTAGAGTTCGAAAAATATAGTTTTTTATATGCGAGAGGTGTTAAATCAAAGACGAGCGTATTGACTTTATATTTACCTGTACCTACGTTTAAAAATAATTTGTATTAATAATTTAACTTATTTGCAACTACCTACCTAACAGTAGAGTTTGCAAAATATAATTCCATAGTAGTCTATTAAATAAATAAGTATACGAGAACATTTAGCTGACTCTACCTTTCAACAAAAAAGGATAATAGTTTCCTTGTGTGTTTTAATAAATAAACCAAGAAAATATTCATGTAACGATAACCTTAGTACTTATGGACATAAAACATATTTTTATCGCATATTTACGGTGTAATGGGAGGCCAAAGTTCTCAAGCTATACCCTGTCATTAATTTTATTTGTTTTTAAGTTGGTACTTCCAAAATAATATTAGTGATAACCTGTCACCTTTAAAATTTGTAGAAGCAACAGATGCTACCCCTGAATATATCCAACAATTTGAATATCCGTTTTAATCATACTAATTTTGTAAATGCGAATGTTTGGATGGATTGATGTTTGTTTGAAGGCATCTCCAGAACGATTGCATGGATCACGCTGAAATTCACCATGTATGTAGAACATTTTCTGAAAGAACTCATAGGCTACTAATTATGTCATGTAATTATTTTAAGCTAGTTTTAAATAAGCTTTCCAAGCCTTCGTAATCATTAGATTTCCATACTACTACGTGCTGATTCTTATTATATTAATCAGAAAGATGTATAGATGTTCGGGTTCAAGAGGGCAGATATCTGCCTCCTCTCTAGGAGATAACTCAAAAACTATTTGTCAATATTTCATTAAAAATTGGATCATATCATTGTTAAAGTAAGAGTTACCTTTGGCATTTTATATCACCGACTTTGACCTCCTTACCCTCTTAATTCCCTTATAAATTATAATGAATATCTTAACCATAAATTCAACCATACAATATGGTTATATGTCTCAACATAGTTCTAATAAGGTTTCATGCGAATTAAGATCTCAATTGGCATTCAGTACCAAATAGAGCAAAGTTGTAAACTCGCCTTTCTGACACGCCTAAAAGCGTGCGCATTCTTAGTACTAAATATTGTATATTATCGATAAATTGTGTTTATTATATTTCGACTAGATTACACCATTCATGATAATTTTACTAGTCATATTATGAACTGATGGCAATAAAGACAAGACCAGTAGTGATCTTGGCTGACACATCCTTAATGTAAGCTTGTCCTTAATGCGGACCTCGGAATGAATAAAGGCACGTGCCAATGACATTTTCAAAAAGGTTATATTATGAAGTGTTACCTTAACTTTATGAAGATTTCATTATTAATTTCACGAAATTATTTCTGGTGAAAATGAGTAAATACTTTTCATTTTATACAAGGCTAGTTTATGAAAACAGTACTTTTTCCGTTACTTGAAAAACATTGTACAAACACATGTATTTTTTTATTACAATTCAACAACACAGGAACAGAAAAAATAGAATCTGCAATATTTGATCTTAACAACTGTTAATCTTTATAGCAGAAATTAGTAATGTTTTTGGCTAAGGCGCTGAGCCAAAATCTAATATTTTACTGGCCATATACACATATGTCGTTTAAAATGATAATTAGGCAGTTTCTACTGCTCATAATTTTTTTTTTACAAACATAGATGTCGCCCGAAACTCTGTCCGCGCGGAATTAAAGAAACCTTAATTATTCGCCTGTGTCCTTCCAGACTCTACATGTAAGCCAAATTTCATCGAGATACGTTCAGCAGTTCTGCAGATACCTATAAACAAACATCCATCAATCTAAACATTCGCTTTTATGATATTAGTAAGATAATATCATCATCAGCTCACTATACGTCCCCACTGTAGAGCTCGGAGCCTACCCTAAGTTAGGGGCGGTTACCCGCCCTGGGCCAGCGTGGTTGACAATGGCCTAATCAACCCTAACTTTGGGTAGGCTCGAAGATAATATAATAAGTCTAATTTAAATCATATCTCGTAGGCTGTAAGGTCACATTTATTTAAATTGGCGAATACAAACCAATCGAATAAGCGAGGTAGCTTTAGAAAGGTCACGTACCATATGGCCGACCTGTCGACCTTGTATACACATCAATGAAGTTTGCACTCCTGTTCCGGTTAAACTTTACTAATTTACTTCATTCAAACTTAAATAATACTTAGGTAACTTATAATTATTTCCTACAAAGTTATAATAAAAGCTTGTTTTTTTTATTATAAGCAGCTTAAAATTTTGAAGGATATTCTTTATGCTATATTATTGAATTAGTTACAATAATAACGTGATATCATCGAAAAATGTTTACAATAAGTATTTATTGACTTCTATCTGTTTACGTACAAAAAATCTAGTATATATATGTAATATCAAAAAGATAGGTGATAAAGAAAAACTATTTCTATACATTACCTATTATCAAACTTATTCCTTACTTCTCGGGTAAAAATAATGATAAAACAGTGCATAAAAACAACACACAGAGAAATAATTACATCCTATAGATCATAAAAGAGCGTCGGTGGCAATCTGCAGGTCCTGGGTTCGAATCCCGCCATGTACCAATGTGTTCTCTGATTTCCGATTTATATATGTACATTTATCCGACGTCCTTACGGTGAAGGAAAACATCGTGATGCAACCTGCACATATCTGTGAAGAAATTCAAAGATATGTGTGAAGTCAACCAAACATAAGGTAGGCTCCGAGCCCCTCGGTGGGGATGCATAGTGAGCTGATGATGATGATGATAGATCATAAAACCATTACATTTTGAACGTTTTTAATTACAACAGATTTATTCGTATTTTACTATTTTTCTGTCCTAATAACGCGTTGATAAACAGACAAATATAATGATTATTTACAGCTAACGTTTGATCTAAATCAGATAATTCTTGGAATTTTATCATTTCCTTTAATCTAAGCATTAATTATTTTAACACTTAATAAAACAGTAAAAAATATTACAGTTAACGTATTAAGAAGAAATTAGTTAGTTGAAGTGTTCACGTTTTGATGCATTTTGTCTTCCAGGCTGAGAGATACCGTGAGAGACGTCGCCTAGCAACTCCAAGTCCAACGCCGTCCCCTCCCCGGCGTCCTCCCGCGTCACAACCAGCCAGCGGCAGCTGGTTCAAATCACTGGACAGAATTGG